TCGGTGTATGGCTGGGTAGCCAGTAGTTATACATGTATCTAGATTTTTCTATATATACTAAGGAAAATCTATACATTTAAAATTAGGCGGCTTTGCCGCAGAGAAATAAAAAATCGTTTTGGATTTTAAACAGAAGAGTTAATCAGCCTTGGGTCAAGGCAAGACTTACTCTTGGAGTAAGCGGATTGCGATCCGCTAAGTCGTACTTGTTCTAAGTGTAGAACGAAAGGTCGGTGACCTAAGTTACGCTTCCTCAAAGCGCAAAGCTACGGCAGCCCCGCTGCAGGTAAGGTCCGTCGCCATCGGTGCTCCGCTGAGCACCATACTGATGTCGTATACCGTTGTGTGGAGAACCTCAAGAGCTTGGAGTACTTTGTACACCGACTGCCTCACATTGAGGACTATCGCGCTCTGTCGGAGCTGCTCCTAGCCGTCGAGATGAATGAGTCACTTTCGGCGACAGTGGAGCGCCTAGCGCCTTTGAAACGGAAATCGTTGCCCTCCATGCTCAGAACCAATTGCTGGTTAGCTTTTGGGTGGTCGAGCGCCTGTGGGCGCCGTTCTGCCACCAACGCTTCCGCCTTCACTTGGTTTGGATCTGGTATGGCTTAAACAAGCCCACATAAAACACCGGGTGGGTGCGCATCCTACCGGAAGTTTTAGCGTATACGCTAGGCTTCGATTGGCCACAACCTTAAACGTCCAATAAACCGCGGACGGAGCTTAGTCTTGAAGACTGCAGAAAAAACCTGCATGTGTAGGAAGGTTTTTAGCACTTAATAAAACCAGGTCTCAGACCTCAATGTTTTTGACATTTCTTCTTCCTTTTCCATCTGCATATTTCTTCTGCATGTCTTGGCTTTCAGCCACCGCAACGCGAACGTGTCGCGAGACACTCAGTCTTTAGATAGGAAATCATCGCCTTCTTTGCAAACAGTGAGGGGGCTGACATCATCTAGCCGCTCGGCTATTGCCCGCCCCACCAATCCCTGAACCTTGGAACGGCGGCGTCAGCGGGACTCAAAGATAAACGATCTCGTTCACGTAGAATGGCGTGTATTCAGTAGATGCATGCATTGCATTGTTCAGGGAAAGCTCTACAAATGGCAGCATGGCGATCCAGCGCCTCGGCGTCTCAGCGCAGACTTGTCATCAACGACGCGATTCACGCGCTCAGTTAAACCAACGGTTTGCAGATCATCCGCTGTTGTCATAATTAGCTTGGTGCCCAGCATCCTGATGATTGTCGACCAAAACTTTCCAGTTAATCGTAGATCTCTGTCCGAGACAATTGACTCCGAATGTCCATGTTGTCGAAAGACACGATCGACAAGCAACGTCGCCGTAACCACACCATCGATGGTATCCGGCACTGCCGCAAGATGGGCCAACTTGCTCAAATAGTCCACAAAGACCACCACTCCCATGTTGCCCGCCGAGTATTTTGGCAGGACAAGCACAAAATTCATGCTCAGGGACTGAGATGTGAGGCGACTGAGTTGTAGTGCGTACTGACGAATGAAGTGTGTAGATCACGAACGGCTTAGAGCCGAGCAGGCGAATTTAAAACTAACAAGCGCGTACTCCATCGTAAGTGAGTCCTTGTCGTCGACTGGGTAGCTCTTCTCCGCGAGATTCGAACGCGATCACACGATATCACCCCTCGGCGTCTGATTGCAGCAGTGCACAGCCGATGGCAAAGTCCGTAATGTCACAACCGATACTGAAAGGACTATTGGGGTCTGGTAACAACAGTATTGGTGCATAAAGAAGGCTGTATTTGACCCTGTCAAAAAAAAACGATGCTCGGTGTCCCAACACAATTCTGTATCTTTCTAAGGAGATAGAAAAAGGATGTGCCATTTTCCCATAAAATATGTTACACTTGTGCAAGAATTTGGCGAGTCCAAGCCACTTGCGCAAGTCCTTTTGAATTCTTAGAACTGGACTGTCCACAGTGATCTTGACCTTAGCTGGAATCCGCCCGAAGGCCACTCTTCCCGATGAAGCACCTTAGAAATGGGATTTCTTCAGCGCCAAAAATGCACTTATTTGCATAAGCATACAGCTTATTCGTCCGCATGTACTCGAGCCCCGCTCTTAAATGCACGATGTGACTTTCCTTCTCTGTCCTTCCATGCCCCGCACGACTGTGGATGAAGACGTTGTCGAAGTATGTCTGTGAATACGCCCGATGGGGCCGAAATAATTGCGTCACAAGACGATTAAATGTTGCTGGAACATTTGACAGCCCTTGACTCATCACCAGTCACTCCCAGAGCATCCCGCTCGGAGTACTCACCGCTGTCAGTGGAATATCACTCACTTTGTTGAGCAATTGGTAATACCCATCGACCAAGTCGAGCGCACTGTACTTTGTACATCCAATCATATTGTTGTGGAGAACATCCTATCTAAGAATCGGCGTCTGTACCGGAATGGTGACAGCCTTTAGCTTATTGTAAGTGTGAAACATACGCCACTTATCGTCCGGCTTCCAGACACAGAACGTGGGGGTCGAATGGGGAGACTTGCTCTCACGCACCATTCCTTCATCGCGCTTTGCATGAAAAAAGCGTCAATCACGTCGCACTGCTCCATGCGAAGGGGCCACTGGCGTGTTCGCAGTTTTTGGTATCCGGAACCAGGTCAATCTCATGACGCACACCTCAGTCCGAAGGTAGGACCGACGGCGGGTCTTTGGAGACGACGTCTTGAAGTTCCTTTACCAGATGACAGTACGCATTCGAGGGATCCTTCAGGATCGACGATCTACTTCGTGCGTTCAGCACTCTCTTGGTGTCCTCCAGGACAGCTGCATCCAGAAGCGACGACGAGTTGATCTCCTCGCTCAGTCTTATAATGACCACCTCGCTCAGTCTTATAATGACCACCTCGGCTAAATAATTTGCCTTCAAGGCAGCCAAACTCTCCGTAGGGCATATTCCCAAGCTTAAGAAGAGCACTCACCGTGGGATAGCCTCCCTTTAACAAGGGTATATAGCTGTGTGCTAACGTCTACAGTAGACACAACCTGGGTCAGGGTTGCCTTCTTCCTCTCCCGTCATACCGTTGTCAAGTGAATATGGCTGTGCACTATCGTCTGCGGTAGAGATACCCTGGGTCAGGGTCGACGCCCGGCGTCTTGCATATAACGTACGGCGACGCTGTCGACTCTCCACAGAGGCTTTACGTATCGGCAAGACCAGTTGGAACACGCATCCAGCGTCGTCCAGTATCCCCACTCCGTGCTCCATGGGAGCCTTGATGTTTTTTACGAAGAGCTGCTATTCGTTCAGTGGTTAGCATGCAACTTCACGCGCATCAGAAGGGCCCTGCTCAAGATGTCTCGGATTTCGTTCGACTATGCCACTCTTGGCATGCAGCAGCTGCTTCGTAACGTGAGCAGTGGTCAGCGGGTTACGTGCCACTCCACGAGCATCACTGGGGTCTCGCCCTCGATACCTCGGCCCTTGGCCGACCATGCCAATCTTGGCATGAAGCAACTGCTTCGTAACGTTAGCAGTGCTCAGTGATATACGTGCCACTCCACGTTCAGCCCGCGAGCCAAGCTCTGGACTCTTGTCCGAGACACCTTCGGTGTTTGACAATTCGGATACTTCGATATCCAGCACAATGACGGTTCCGGTCCAGTGCCCGCGCCAAAAGTCCTTCTGCTTTCTAGCAGAGGTAGGTTCATGACTCACCAAAGCTCCACTAGGGGACGTGCGCGTAGCACCCAAGGTCTTTGACCTCCAATCGATCCATGGCTCATCATACCATATCAAGGATAAGGTCATACTTTGATACCAAGTATAAGACTAAGCAGCAGTGCACGCTGCCGAAGTCAAGAAACTTGACGCCGAGATCCACAGAGGTCCTCGGCACAATGACGCAAGTCCCCGTC